AGTCATTCTGCTACCTGAGGGGCTTATTGAAAGCATTCCTGAAGTGTATGCTCTCTTGCAGGTAACCATGCAGTTACAGGAAAGCTCCATTATTTTTCGCTGTCAACTCCCCCTAAAATTAATTTCGTTCATGAGTTTCATGTCTTATGATGGCTTTTCTTTTTGATTAAAACTGCAAGTTAGGAACTTGTTTCTTTAGTTACATTTGGTATATGCTGATGTATTAGTTTGATATGATGCTATGGTATTGACATCTTGTATGTCTCAGGAAATTCATGGTTTGCTCAGGCAAGGTGTTTCTGCTGACCACATATCTTCTCAGCTGTCACCTTGGGCATCTGCCTTGTTTGAATTTTTGCCTCCCTTTATTAGAAAGCAGGTTATTATCCCACATAGTATTACATTGAAAGGTACCTGTGTTTTTTTTCTAATTTTTTTTGATGACCTTAATGTTAATGATTCTCATATTTGATGTTACAGCTCCTCCTTTTCCCAGAATCAGATGATTCTGCACAGTTATCCCAGGTATCTAGTTTTGTAGTCCTTTTGGTGCAATAGAAATGAAACTTGTAAATATTGTTGTTGAGTGATTTTTCCCCTTTTTGTGTTCGTTTCCAGATTGAGACAGAGAAGCTTTTAGCTCATCTTGTGGAAGCAGAAATTAACAAGAGATTGGTAAATAAAGCCATCTGTGTCTGGGTTCTTATTTAGCTTTGACAAACTGAAATTATTTTTTTTTCCACCAATACTTTCAATAAATTACAAAATATCTTAAAATCTTATTCAATTTAAAATGCCCAAAAAAGATCATTCTGCATCTTTCTTTTCATTTAGTCTGCAACTGATTTTTAAGATTGCAGTTATTCCAAACTGGCTACTATTCATGCAATTTGAATATTTTTTCTCCTTGAAATTTTTATTTATATCTCCATTATTGCAGAAGAAATTAGCTAAACAGGGGAAAATTAACCTCTCAACATTTTAAAAAGGGTTTATTGGTGATAAATCCACTTTTATGGGTGTATATGGCATTAAGTCCAGTGATTGATCCGTTTTGGTTTTAAGAAAATGATTAATGAGAAATACAAATCATTATTTTAAAGGACTTTTTTTTTTTCATTTTTACCCTTGGTACTTTTTCTCTCTACTTTCTCTCTCTATTCTCACACACTACTATCAATTGCCCACCACCACCGCTGCTGGTGACTCACCGGAAAGTTGCCAGAATATTTGTTGTCGGCAGAAAAGTGTCCATCGACCAGTGGTGATCAGTGGCAGCGGTGAACAGATAGACAAATAGATGGACAGAGATAGACAGATAGATGGGGGTGATATGGTCTTTCAAATTGTTGTTGTTCTTATGAACAAAAAAGAAAGTTTAGGGTAATTGCCCCAAAAGTTTCAAATCTGGACTGTTGGCCAATGCCCTTGAAAAATTGTTTGGGAATGAAATATTACATCTGTTTGGCAATTTAAAAATAAGTAAATTGATGACAGTATGGAATCAGTTAAGTCAACAGTAGTCCAAAAAGCAAGAAAAAGACTAAGCTTTAATAAGTGCCCTTGCCCCATTTCAATGGACTCTGGACATTAGCCAATCCCCCTTCACCCGTACACAAAAACAAATGGAGAAGTGGACTCTGGACATTAGCCAATCCCCCTTCACCCGTACACAAAAACAAATGGAGAAGTGTTAGGGAAAAATATTTATTTCTAGTCTCCACTTGTGTCCTTCAGTTAGCTTTGTGATTAGGGGGCTGCAAACGAATCGAGCTATTCATGAGTTTGCTCGGCTCGGCTTGGTTTGGCTCGTTTAGTAAACAAGCCAAGCTTGAGCTCGAATAAGCTCGGCTTGTCAAGCTTGGCTCGTTTATCTTTATTTAAATTATATAATAAATATATTATTTATATATTAAATAATATATAAATAATAGCATAAATACATCGTTTATGTATTAAATAATAAAAAAAAATCTTATTGAGTCAAGCTTGAGTTTCATTAATATTAACGAGCTTAGTCGAGCCGAGCTTGAGCAGTTAGTTATCGAGCAGAGCTCGAGCTTAATAAACGAGTTGAGCTCGAGCTCAACAATGCTCAGCTCGGCTCGTTTGCAGCCCTATTTGTGATAAAATATCACTGTGCACCTAAAGTGTTCAATTCAATCTTGGGAATATTTTCTGTCAAAGTAAACAAAGTTTTTTGAAATTGGGTACGCAAGTCTTCAGTCATTCTATGGCATCACAGTACTGTTTATAACAAATCATTTTGTTGGACAGTAGTTTTCTTTGATAATGTTTATTAACAGGTTTTGTTCTTTCTATGAAATAAACCAAGTGAAACTTGATGATTTGCTACATTATGCACAGTAGTTGTTTTTTCATTCCTTGAAGTGGCTGCTGGCATTAATGTTACCTGCAATCTTTGCTATATATATTCAAATGCCACTATGTTATAAACCTCCATAATACCTTAGTTGCATTTTCTAAATGAAAGGAAAATGGATGAGCAAAGCAGAATTGAACTTTCTTGTTTGTCTCAGTCAATATGCTTTTCTGGATTTTATTTAGCAATATGACATTTTTAACATCACTTTGTTATGTTTACTGTGATCTGAACAGAAAGAAGGCACGTACAAGGGGAAGAAATTTAATGCTATCTGCCACTTCTTTGGTTATCAAGCACGGGGATCACTACCATCAAAATTTGACTGTGATTATGCATATGTATGTTTGTTTTGGCTTAAGGCTACTTTACTTGAGCTCTCTGGTCTTCATATTAAATGTTTTCCCTTGTTACTTATATTACTTTTTGTGCCAGGTTCTTGGGCACATCTGTTATCATATTCTGGCAGCTGGTCTGAATGGTTATTTAGCAACTGTCACTAACCTGAAAAATCCCGTGAACAAGTGGCGCTGTGGTGCTGCTCCAATTACAGTAGGGTTTATATTCCTTTTATGATCTAATCTCTATCCTACAAGTTAGAAACTTAGATTTTGGTTCCTTGTCTGTTCCTATTACTTGCAATGGCAGAGAAAGTTGACTTCTTGACTGTATTGATAAACTGTAGGCAATGATGACTGTAAAGCGTTATGGTCGTGGTCCTGGGGCCTCATCAATTGGAAAACCTGCTCTGCATCCTGCTATTGTGGATTTGAAAGGCAAATCATATGAGTACGTCTATCATGATTTTTAACATGCTTTCTTGACATCAGATGAGTGAAAAAAAAAAATAATTTTATTTCTTCAGGGGTTGAAGTTTACATTTTCTTTGTCATCTTTATTGGTGCTGCATATGATTACACTGATCACTACAAAATTGCATGGTTCTTCAAAAGTAAATGTATCACTGCTAATGTCATCTTGTCTCACTGCTGCTAATTCATTTCTTGGTGTTTGTTGCAGGTTGCTGAGACAAAATGCGACAAAGTTTTTGATGGATGATATTTACAGAAACCCTGGACCTCTTCAATTTGATGGTCCTGGTGCTGATGCTAAGGCTGTAACTCTGTGTGTTGAAGACCAGGATTACATGGGCCGTATCAAGGAACTGCAGAAGTATCTTGACAAGGTGCCAAAAATTTGCATGTTGTTGACTGAATGATTGTCTACCCCCCTCTGCCCCTTCTTTCTTTCATCTTCTAAACGAACCAAACGTTAGAGCATAGTTGCATGTTCTGTTAAGGCTGATTCATCTTCTCTTTTAGTGGCTCCATTAGTGGGCTTGGCCACGTGGTGACAATGGATTAGATTGTTTTGCATATTACACATCAAGGCCATGTTTGTTTGGGCGGACATGGCCTTGGGATTGGATTAAATAATCCAACAAAATGCATAATCTGATGTTTGGCTAAAAAAATTGGCGTCTAGAGTCCATCCGAACATAGTATACCTCATATGGAAGAGAGAGAGAGAGGGGGGGGGGGGGGAGATACAGAACGGAGAACTAAGGAGAAGTTGGGACTAATTAGTTAAACTACAAAATTAATAGGATTTTGTCAATCCGTCGTCATAATCCCATGCCAATCCAAATATGGGATAGAATGCACAATACAGAACGGAGAACTAAGGAGAAGTTGGGACTAATTAGTTAAACTACAAAATTAATAGGATTTTGTCAATCCGTCGTCATAATCCCATGCCAATCCAAATATGGGATAGAATACACAATTCAAAGGAATTGATAATCCTAGGACTAACAGTCCCAGGCATCTAATCCAGTCTGTCCAAACAAAACATGACCGAAGGAGAAAATCCCTAGTTTTGAACAAGTTTGCTTTGACTTAAGCTTTAATGATTATGAGGTCATCTCACCATTGGTTTTCTGTTGTGACTCCATTCTAGAAGATGGGATTTTGCCTTGTCTTGGTGGATGGGATCCATGTTGTCTTGTAGTTTTATAGGTTTTCTAATGTGTCTGTGTTATGTCAGGAATCAGGATTGTAGACCTGTGCTCCTGACTTTAGGGTAGTGAGGATTGAAAAATGGCTTGCAATCTGCCAATCCAAGTAATGGAAACTGAAATAGCACTTGTAAGAGCTTCTAATTGAAGCAGATAAACTGCTCTAATGCTCATCGCATAATTGGTTGGTCATTTAGAATTAGCTAAGCCCTGGGGAGCGGAAGTTAAACCTTACCGACTTGTGCAAGGGACTGATGTCCATGTTTAGAATGATGACTTTGGACTGTGACATGATAGCCGTGGGATGCTATCCTTTCATTTCACCGTATCTCATTTTGCCATTTATCCTTGTGTTTTTGTGTCTGATCTTTTTTTGTTTTTTGGGCCTCCTTTTCCCAGGTGCGAACCATTGTGAAACCAGGGTGTTCACAGGATGTTCTCAAGGCAGCTTTGAGTGCCATGGCTTCTGTGACTGAGATTCTCTCAGTAATGACCTCGTCTTCGAACAGTGGGGTGACACCATTTTAGAAGCACAAATTAACCACTTTGGTACTGGAATTCCAAATTCCTTTTGATTCTTGTTTTACTTAAGTAGTTTCATAAATTTCTCTTAGGTAAGGTTGAGGATTTTATTTTTTCCCCAAAATTTTGCAAACTATGTGATGCAAAATAAATGGAAGCTGTGTTGAGGCTTACTGAAAATTGAGATTTTTTCTTTGTTGTCAGAAAAAAAAGGTGAACCACGTTCTGTTCCTTCCTGAATGAAATTTGTATGCATCAAGCCATAAATAGTGATTTGATGTTTTTTTGCAGTAATTTTTAAAATTTGAACTCTTAATAAGAATAAATATGCTTTTATGATATGTAATCCTACTAGACATGTTTGAAGTCTTACCTCCATCATATGAATAAATACCCTTTTCTGTGAATAAACATTTTGCAAGATCAGCCATTCAATTGCATATACCACTTGTAATGGTAGTGCTGCCCTTGAATATACTTTTTAGTTTTGATTTATGACTGGCTCGCTATAATATCAGTTGGAGTGAGATTATTCCGGATATGTAGCCCTAGTACAAAAATACTTTTCTCGTGTCTGGCAAGGCAACACCACAACCAAAGAAGTGAATTTTTTCAAATTTATGTAGAAGACATCCATCATATTTAAAAATTTTATTGTCTTTTTTTGAAGAAACTTGATTGAATTAAATTTTGAGAATAGGCTGCAGGGCAAAAACAACAAAAGAAAAAAAAGGTTAGTGGTATATATTTTTTATTATTTAGACAATTTAGGAGAAAAGAAAAAAGAGAAATTGATAAATTTACGCCATCCACCCTAAAAATTGTGCACATTGTATGAAAGTTATGTTGTTTTGTGTGAAAGTTATGAATATTTGTGGTGTTATGATATTTTGTGAAAATTACGAATTATGAATTTGTGATATGCACTATAAAGTTATGAATGGTAATATTATAATACTTTGTGATTTATGTTATAATATTTTGTGATAAAAAAAAAAAGTTTTGATTATTGTGATGAAAATAATTATGATATTTTGTGGTTTAGTTACGAAATTTTGTATAATTTTGTGAAAAAGTTTTGAAGGGATATCATATGCGCCCTATTGGAGGTGCACAATGTAGCCTTTTCTGAGAGAAAATAATGGAGTATTATCTTCTTCTCTTTTTTATGAAGAAAAAATAAAGGGAAAAAATAAAAATAAAAAAAGAAGTGAAAGAACGCAAAATTGACAACTATTAACTCCTTTCTCTTCAAATTTCTCTAGTTTTAGAGATATTCAAATAAAAAAGAAAGATATGTCATTGATATTTTTTTCACTGTTTAAATGGATATTCAAATTTTGCCCTAGTTTGAAAATAATGATTAAGAAAATAATGATGATAAACACTACCTTATCATTGTACTCTAATAATATAAAATGGTATATACAAATAAACTTTATGAATTCGACCAAAACTTACGGAGTGTATTACTTTGCAACAAACACCTAGGTCATGTTTGTTTGGGTGGACATAAGTTTGGAATTGGACTAATAGTCTAATAAAATTATTAATCTGATATTTGGTTAAACAATTGAAGTACGGACTAATTATTTTAAACTTGACTATTAGTTAAGATAGGATACATAATCCAACAGATTCGTAGTCCTAGGATTATTAGTCATGGGAATGCTAATCCAATCCGCCTAAACAAACATGGCCTAATTTAATAGGATTATTAATATTTCACTATTAGTGTTGTGAATCAAACATGACCCTAGTGTATTACTTTGCAACAAACACTTGACATCGCCAAACCTCAACACCTCCACTCTATAATTGCATTGCATGCATTGGCACAGCTACTTTCATTTCCTCTATGCGTCAATCTAATCTCTATATGTTCCTACTGTAGAATTGATATATCATCTCACTGTTTTGCAACCGCCGTCTAAAACTCACCCATTTGTCGCCTTTTGCAAATCCATATGTCCACAACAAAATTCCCATTAAATTGTTACCGTAGCTAATGAAGGAGAGCGATTTGCATGTAATTTGCAATTTACATTGGTGGAGGTGAGCGATTCCTGTGGTCGCTACCAGGTTAGCGTTTTGTAAGTGTTGGTCTTATAGAAGAGAATGGTGGGATAGAGTGAGAGAATGGAGTAGCGATGATGGTTGGGTAGCTGTAGCGAGTGTTTGTGTTGTAAAGATGGGTGCTGGTTGAGAATGAAGGTGGATCATGGTAGTGGTAGATAAGAATGGGTGGGAAAGTGTTAGTTGGAGGCGGAAGATGAAAGGGGCTTCATGAGATGAAGTTAAGAAATCTGGGAAAGGAATAGAGGAGGAGGCAAATAGAAGGGAGAGGAGATAGAGGGAAGCACAATGACCCACTAAGCCCGCTTGAGCTCACCCATGATTTATAATGCTTGGAATTATGGTTCAAGCCTATAGGGTTTGAGTAGGGCAAATTTTTTAGGTCAAATTATAATGTAGGTAGTTTTGGAAATAGTATTTCTAGCTCTACCCGTCTACAAACTATATTATAAAGTATATTTTTATAGATATACAAATTTATGTGTATTAGTATTGTTTAACTTTATTTTTTTATAGACATAAATATGTATTACTAATCATGTAAAATAATTGGCTAGAAAATTTGTGCTACTAACATTGACTAGGTTAAAGTAACATCCAAATCATTAAATTAATTACTATATTTTTTTTATGTTAAAATATGAAAAAAATATATATATATATATATATATATTCTTTTTAAATAATATCAAAAATAAAGGCCGAATTCTAGATTGGGACTGGCGTTGGAAACTATTTTAAGTGTTATTATTTTATATAATATAGGCACAACATGTACTCAGCCCAGTCTAACTCATATCTATCCATAAAAAGAATGAGGAAAATTAGTGGACTTTTTATATCGTATTATGATGTTTGACTTTTGATTAATTTTTTCTTCGCATATTTTTATTGTGTTACCCTTGATTTGTGCATTATGATTTTTGCACATATTCACATCATGGACCCTGTAAACATTTTTCTCGTCCTGGCAATGTGAATATCATCATTATTTTTTTATTGATGATACATGATAGAAGCCGGAACGTTTATCTTGTTATAGTATTTTGAATATTCAGATTGTGAGTTCTCATGGTGAACATTCATAGGTATTGTTTAGGAACTTGACTATTTTAGATTATCTTTAACGGTATATTAATTTTTTTATTAAGTTTGAATAAAAATCTAAATAAAAGTTTCATTTGATATTAAGTGTTCCAACGAAAGTTTATGAAACTTCATTAGAACACCGGTTGATTGGGCAGACGATCGGCCGGTCGACCAGCTGTTGGGTCGGTAGATCTTGATAAGTATTATTCACTTAATCCTATTGTTCACTCAAACATGGGTTCAATGGATGGATTGGGGGGCCTCCCCCCAACCGAATTTTTTTGGATACTTTCGTAATTCCCGTGTGCTTCCATGTAATCCTAATTCTATACTTATAAATAGATGAGGGGCCACCTCTTTTAGGTTAAGTGAGAGTTGTATTCTTCTGATCATAGTGAAAACCGCAGCAGCCGTAGATGTAACCCTATTATGGGATGAACCACGTAAATTCTTGTATTCTTGTGTGTGTGATTTGTTTGATTCGTTAATTTCTTTCTTGTTTGTTATTTTATGTCTCACCGATCTTGGTTAAGAAGGGTCAATTCCTAACAACTGGTATCAGAGCATTGGTTCGAGTAGGAGCGATGACTATAGAAGAAAATGCTAGAATCAATAAATTCAATGGCAAAGATTTCGGCTTTTGGAAAATGCAAATTGAAGACTATCTGTATCAGAAAAAACTGTATGAGCCCCTTTTAGGGACGAAACCAGAAAAAATGAAGGATGATGAGTGGACTATTTTTGATCGCCAAGCACTAGGTGTTATTCGGCTAACGTTTTCTCGTAACATTGCGTTTAACATAGCGAATGAGAAGACTACAGCGAGTCTTATGGCGGCATTCTCAAACATGTACGAAAAACCCTCTACCTCAAATAAAGTTATTTGATGCGTAGATTGTTTAATCTGAGGATGACAGAAGGTGCTTCGATGGCTGAACATCTGAAGGAATTCAATATTGTGGTAACACAATTGAGTTCTATATCTATCGAATTTGATGATGAGGTTAGGGCTTTGATTCTTCTATCTAGCTTGCCAGAAAGTTGGAATGGTATTGTAACGGCAATAAGTAATTCTTTAGGAAAAGAAAAGTTGAATTACAATGATATTCGAGATTTAATTCTGAGTGACGAAATTTGTAGAAGGGAATTAGGGAAAATATCAGGTTATGCCCTGAATATAGAAGCTAGAGGAAGATCAGCAGGAGCAGGAAAAAACCCGAACCGCAACAGATCAAAATCCAAGCAAGTCAAGAATTAGAAAGAGACGGAGTTGCTGGAATTGTGGAAAAAAGGGACATCTAAAGGGAGATTGCCCGACATTGAATAAGAACAAAGATGATCAAAATCAGAAGTTGGTTAATGCTGCAATGGAGGAGATTTATGATGCTTTGATCTTGAGTATTGACAGCCCTATTGAATCTTGGATTTTAGATTCTGGGCATCATTCCATTCTACTTCACAAAGGGAAATCATGGACAATTACGTTGGTGGCGATTTCGGGAAGGTTTATCTGGCTGATACCTTTGAAGATTGTGAGCAAAGGAGATGTAACAATCAGGTTGCCAAAAAGATCTGTTTGGAAGATATAGAATGTCAGACATGTGCCTAGTTTGAAAAGAAACTTGATTTCTGTTGGACAACTTAATGATGAAGGTCATGTTGTAACCTTCATGGGTGGTTTGTGAAAAATCACCAAAGGAGCCATGGTTGTTGCTCATGGTAAAAAAGAAGGCACCCTTTACATGACTACAAACAATAGGGATGTAGTAACAGTTGCTGGTAAAAAGGAAGACTCAAATCTGTGGCACCAAAGGCTTAGGCATATGAGTCAAAAAGGGATGAAGGTACTTGCGTCTAAGGGGAAAGATTAATGCTAGGGATCATGAAAAAAATATCATGAAGATGCTTATGAAAGATTCTCTACCTTTAGATTATACATACAATAAAACATCATATACTAATCAAAGTATGAAAAATCTTCATGATGCATTTCATGATATTTTTTTCATCACACACTAAACTGTCAGATTTGAAATCAGTGGACATTGACTTTTGTGAGAATTGCATCTTAGGCAAACAAAAGAGGGTCAGTTTTTCAAAGGATGGCAGGAAATCGAAGTCAGAAAAATTGGAGCTGGTTCATACAAATGTGTGGGGACCTGCACCAGTTTCATCTCTTGGAGGATCATCATACTATGTTACCTTTATCGACGACTCAACGAGAAAGGTATGGGTTTATTTTTTGAAACATAAATCTGAAGTTTATACTACTTTTAAGAAGTGGAAAGCCTTGGTAGAGACTAAAACAGATCTGAAATTAAGTGTTTGAGATCAGATAATGGAGGGGAATATGAGGACAATGAGTTCAAGAAATATTGTACAGAAAGTGGAATTAGAATGGAAAAGACTGTTCGAAAGACACCTCAACAGAATGGCGTTGCAGAATGTATAAATAAAACTCTAAATGAACGTGCTAGAATTATGAGGATACATGCCGAATTACCAAAGATGTTTTGGGTAGATGCAGTTAACACTGGAGCATATCTGATTAAACGTGGTCCATCTGTTCTATTGGATGAAGAGTTACCAGAAGAAGCTTGGAGCAGTAAAGAGGTAAATCTTTCTTTTTTGAAGGTATCTGGCTGTGTTTCATATGTGCATATAGATTCCGCTGATAGAAGTAAACTTGATCCGAAATCTGTTAAATGTACTTTTATTGGGTATGGCATTGATCAATTTGGTTATCAGTTTTAGGATGATAAAAATTGAAAAAATAATCAAAAGTAGAGATGTCATATTTAATGAGAAAGTAATGTATAAAGATAGGTATAAGTCTGCATGTGAATCTGAATATGAATCTGTTACTTGTCATGAGCATGTTGAGTTAGAGGTGATTAGTAAGAGTGATTTGAATAATAGAATTCAAAATAATCCTGAAAAACTTATTCCACAAACTGAGCCACATACTCTTCCTCTCAAGTTGAGACGGTCAGAAAGAGAGTCTAAACCTACATAGCGTTGGTCTCCATCTTTACATCATTTGTTGTTGTCTAATGGGGGTGAACCTGAAAGTTATGATGAGACTTTGCAGGTTGATGATTCAATTAAGTAGGAGTCAGCTATGCAGGATGAAATGGATTCACTCATAACAAACTAGACATGGGAGTTGACTGAATTACCAATGGGTAAGAAAGCTTTGCACAACAAGTAGGTTTACAGGATCAAACAGGAACATGATGGGAGTAAACGCTATAAGGCCAGATTGGTTGCAAAGGGATTTCAGTAAAAAGAAGGGGTTGACTACACTAAAATTTTCTCTCCAGTTGTGAAGTTGACCACTATTAGATTGGTGTTGGGAATTGTGGCTACTGAAGATTTGCATCTTGAGTAGATCGATGTAAAGACAGCTTTTCTCCATGGTGATTTGAAGGAGGAAATTTACATGAAGCAACCACAAGGTTTCTTGGCACATGGCAAAGAGGAGTATGTATGCAAACTTCGAAAAAGCTTGTATGGTTTGAAACAGGCCCCAAGGCAGTGGTACAAGAAATTTGATGGGTTTATGTGTAGCAGCGGTTTTACAAGATGTCAAGCAGATCATTGTTGTTATTTCAAGAGGTTTGACAAAAGTTATATTATTTTTCTCTTTTATGTTGATGATATGCTTATTACAAGATTTAGCATTGAAGAGATAAAAAGATTGAAGAGATAAAAAGATTGAAGAGACTTTTGTTTAACCAATTTGAGATGAAGGATCTTGGAGTTGCAAACAAAATCCTTGGTATGAGGATTCATAAGGACAAAGCAAATGGTACTTTGAAGTTGTCACAGTCTGAGTATGTCAAGAAAGTTCTGAAGAGGTTTAGCATGGATGGTGCAAAACCAATGAGCACTCCATTAGCTAGCTACTTCAGACTTACCAAAGAGCAGTCTCCGAAGACCGAAGAAGAGTAGGCTTATATGGAACATGTTCCATATGCTTCAGCTATCGGTAGCATAATGTATGCTATGGTTTGTACTAGACCAGACATTGCACATGCAGTGGGAGTGGTTAGTAGGTACATGAGTAATTCAGGCTAACAACATTGGGAAGCAGTGAAGTGGATCCTTAGATACTTGAGTGGCACTACAGACATGGCACGTTGTTTCAGACGAACCGGCATCGGGTTACATGGTTATGTTGATGCAGACTTGGCTGGTGATATGGATAGCAGAAAGAGTATTACTGGTTATGTTTACACATTGGGTGGTACAACAGTGAGTTGGATTTCACAGTTACAGAAGATTGTGGCCCTTTCTACAATAGAGGCTGAGTA